AGTCTGGGGATGTCTTCTGAAGGGGATATCTGGGCCAAAGGCTTCTACTCCTTGGGCACACTTGTTCCCCATTCCCAGGGCCACCCCACTCTAGCAGTGAGCTCTCCATTCACAGCAAGCTGCAGCATGAGGTTTCAGCTTCCTCACTCCCTCCACCTCCCTTTCCTGTTGGTAGTGGCCAAGGGAATGCTGGGAAATGTAGTTCTTTCCCTGCTCCAGGGCTGACTCTATAGGCAGGGAGCTAACCAAGGAACTACAGCTCCCAGGGCCCCCTGTTGGTTCTCAGCTCCCATGCTGGATCTCTGCCACCCCTGCAAATGGGCTGCTCCAAGCACCTGCTTGCTTTGCTGGTGCCTAGAGCCGCCCCTGGGAACCATCCACTGGCTAGGCCATATTGCAGCATGTTGTGCTCTGGCCCTATTCTCACTGGTCCCAACTTTCCCTGGTGCAGTCCCAGCTTGCTCCCAGTTGATGTTGACGTGACCACCACTCCACGAGTACTATAGAATGGGCTCACATTCTGTCTCTATGAACTGGGGATATTCTCCTCAGCCCCTCCAGGGCTGATTTAAGGTCCTATTGTGCCAGTCCACCGGCACAAAGAACCTTAGGAGGGGCTGATCAATTGGGCTCAGTGCTTTGGAAACAGGGGCAATTGAGAAGTAGAAGGGTTTATTTACTAAAAATCTTAACACTGTTAATTATCTTGAATATAAAATGTTGTGTTTTGTTAAAGAAACATTCCCTGGTGGTGTGTGCGCCTCTATTTCTCACAATAAAAAAGTGGTTCCCATTATCTGGCATTTTGGACAAAACCTAATGAATCTGATCTTGTGGCACAAGCTGGAAGTGAAGACTCTCTGTGAACCCTGCTATCAAAGAACTCACTCTAAATTTACAATGCCACCAGCCAATCCCCTGAGTATTGTTGCCATTGGGCAAGTCAAGTCTACCCTACAGAGCTACATCAGCGCAAGTGTACCAATGCAGCTGTGCCGCTGTAGTGCGTCTGGTGAAGACGCGCTATGCCGATGGGAGAGCGCTGTTCCATCGGCATAATTACTCCACCTCAGCGAGAAGCGGAAGCCATGTCGGCGGGAGAGTATCTCCCACTGACGTTGCGCCGGTGTGGACAGCATAAAAAGTGTGTCGTTCGGGGAGGGGTTGAGCTTTTTCACATCCCTGAGCGATGTAAGGTAGATCAACTTAAGCGGTAGTGTAGACCTGCCCATTGTGTTTGGAGAACTGCTGATATTCGCTGCTCTCCTGCAGCAGATGCCCTGAATGCTTCCTTTCTTAACCTGCCAAATGTCTAAGTTTTATGCCCATAGGTGCAGTTTTACTGTGGAAAGAGGAGGAGTTGGAAAGAGACTCTAACAACCCAGTTGAATTCTGGAGTGGTTGCAGGTAAAATGAACAGCAATAACCAGCCCAGGTTACACTTCTGCAAATAAAGTATTAAGTATAAAAACGACAAGAGAGGGAAGGAATGGGAGATACCCTGTATTCTCCAGTTATTATAACAAGCCTGATGGGCATATCTATGTCTCTTATTTCATCCCCAGAGGCTCTGCTTCTAAAAAATGGTGCTTCCAGGACTGACACTGAAGGAACTGGAGGTGGGTGAGTGTGATGTTGATGTAGTAACAATGGGGGGTTGTCAGTGGCCATGTCTTTACTAGTGGAAAGAAAATACGTGTGTATTTTTAACACATGATCGCTGACACATCCGAAATTGCTCAGGTAAAAATCCTGGCCCCATTACACTCAATGGCAAAATTGACAAACTTGGCCAGAATTTCACCCCTAGTGTAGTCAAGGCAGTTGCAGTTGTAATACATGTTAGCTTGGGGGACTGAGGTGAACCCTAGCATCTCCAGTAGGGTTTTACTGTGACCAGCTGATGTGTTAAAATTGCCTTGTCTACAGTAGCATTTTAACACAGCACCATGTTGTTAGTTCTGTTAAAATCACTAGGGGAAAAAAGGTGTAAGAGGTGCACGAGATGTGGTTTGTATGGAGAGGAATTCCAGGGAGTGTTGGTGAATGGCAGTGATTGTAATGGGGCCTATTTCTTAGGGTAATAAGTGTTTTCTACATTGGCAGGTGGGTAGATAGCAGTGGGGCCAAGGATTTAGTAGCGCTGGTGATGGATGGGGAAATCAAGAGTAACTATTCAATCTCAAGATTGGTTCCCCAAAAATGATGGTGGAGCGACAGTAGCTTCTCTCTAGGTAAGGTTTACCCCCAAGCTTTGAGGCACTGAAAAATAAGATCCACATCTGAATTTTGCAGCTTGGTCCCATACCAATTAGTAGTTTTGTTCCTGCCCCTAGCACATGTCTGGGTTGTGACTTACAGCAATGCCCAAACCACCAAAACCCCAGTACATGAATGACAGATCTTTAAAATAAATGGAAACATGGCCCACCACTGCAGACAGACTGCCTACAAATAAATCATCCTACAGCAGCACATAAACCACAATCTGAATGTGATATCTCATGGGGGCTCACATATGACACCCCCTATTTAGAGTCAGATAGGAAAAGCTTAATGCAATCCTAAAAAGCAGAGTTTTCCTTCTTTGGGGAGGAGGAGGAGGGGAGTGTTTTATTTGTTTAAACAGGCGCATACTAAGGATGTAACATTTTCATGTTTACCAAGCTGTAGACTCCTTATTTCTGTCCTGGAGCAGGGCTGCTGCAAAGTGCTAGAATGTATTTACTTTGCCTAACTCAATCTGATGAGGAATCATGACCTAGACTGTGTGCAGTACTGCCGAAGGACCCCTGGATGGCAGAGAGGAATACATCCTGTTGTAGTGTACTAAGATGTGTTTGAAACAATCCTCCCAGCAATAATTACTGAACAGCGAAACGTGCCTCAGATGAGATATAACAAATACCCCATAACTCTTCACTAGCAACATCTAATGGATTTCACAATAATTGGGGGGTGGCGGGGTGGAAGGAAATTGTGGGCTAAATTCATCCCTGATGTAACCAGACTGACTACAGTGCAGTCACAAGAAGGCCCAATGTGTAGATAGCACAAGTTGAGAAAGAGGGCATTTCTGTGTCTAAATGTGGTGTATTGTCTTTAAAGGCTTTTAAAAAACTACTGCCTCCTTCCCCTTTTGCTTTTTGGCCCTTATCAATGTACCTTTCAGATAGTTCATCAACGCTTCCCTATTTTCCTTCTTTTACATTTTTTTTAAACCTATGACTATTTGGTTATTTTCCTTTCTTTAGTGTCATGTATGCTAAATAAATGTGATTCCTGTTATTTTCTTTTAAATAAATAAAGTATTCCACTCTTCCTGCCACTCATGCTGCAGTCTGGATCTACATCATATAAAGGTGTCCCCCCACCCCCATACTCCTCTGAGTTACTCATTCCTCCTACACCTTGCTCTAAATGTGACAGTTATTTTGTGCGCTTCAGGAATACAACTTAGAAAAACAGCCAATCAGAACAGTCGTTAGATAGTGACAATCTTAAAGTGTCCTCTTCTAGCCCATGCCTCAGCAGCTAACTGCAGCAGGCCCTTCCCTTCCCCAACAGAGAGACATGGTCCCTTTTCCCCTGAGGCCAGGGAAGGGGACCTGATGTAAATTTCACAGTATGGTGTAATGATCAGGGCAGACAGCACCTCCCTACATAGCTATCTGTGTACGTTGCAGAGACTGATCAATAGGTCTTCCCCTGTACCACTCTGGCCAAGAGATGGCTTAAGTGAAGCAGAATTGTGCTGTGCTGAATCTGGCACTGGTGATGGAGAAAGAGGGCTATGTACACTGACGAGCCATGAGAGATTCCTGTGTGAAAAGTCAGGTTATAAATGGTTTAACAGGGGAATGTCATAACTGGTGAAGGAGGACAACATACTGGCTAAAACAATGGACCAGTTTATAAGCTGAGTTACAAACATGGAAGTAGAAACTGGGGTTTCCTTAAGGGTATTAGCTGTTAATTCCTAGCCCCAGTGTGACATCTTTGTACCAGCCGCAGCATTTCAAGAAATGATTGTTAGGGAATTTGCTAAAATATTGGAGGAGGCCTTGCTGCAAGCTCTTTTCAGGCTCCCCAAGGGTCAGATGAGATTATTTCCCAAGTGGGTCCCAGGCCAGATAACATTTCTAGGTGATGTGGAGCAAAGTTCATTGAGACAGAATTGTTCAGGCAGAGGGAAGCCACCCCCAGGGAAACGAGAAGCTGCTGATGCAATAGGACCACCCCATCAGCAACTATTAGCATATACCAGGTTTAAAGTTACCCAGATACCTGTTACTATGTGTCTGGAGACATAGATGGCTGGAAAAAGCATGCTGCTGTTTGATTCAGGATCTGAAATAAGTCTGATCCATCCCAGTGCTGAAGGGGATGAAGAATTAAATTGGTGACTTAATCATCAGCCACTGCAGACAACAGGAGAATCTAGTTCCCACTGAACTTGGGGTCTCTGGATACTAAATGGTGAGATAACCAATATTTGTGATAACCAACATTTCTAGTGCTGTTATACTGGGAGTGGGTTTTATCTGAGGGCATCGCAGGAACTTCTGGAGAGTTACGAGAAGACATTTGTCCCTGGATATTATTCAGCTACTCTTGCTGGATGTGGGTAGGAGAAAGCATAGCTCCTGGGGTGAAGCTCTTAACATATTAGAGATGCCTCTAACCATGCCTACAGACTGACAGAAGAACTACTCCCTGGGTGAGTTGGAATAAAGTTGTGGTGAAGCCAGGTAATCATGCAATAATACCCATAAGGATAAAAGACTACTGCAGTGAACCCGTAGGAATGTTTGAAATGACCAGTATCCAGTCATGATTGCTGGTTAGGAGAACTCGATTTCAAGATGGACCAAAGTGGGAGTTCTGGGTAAGAACAACTAATGTGACTGGCCAGGAAATGGAGCTAGTGAAAAATCAGACCAGGGTAAAGTGTCAGTGTAGTTGGTGTCACAAAGCCTCTCACAGAGGCAGAGATCAAGAGCTGTAAAGAAGCCCAGTCAGTAAAAGAGCTAGGGGTTGACTAGACAGAAAATAGCTGTAGAAGGAAATGAAAGGAAGTGATTAGAACAGCTACTCTTATGATAGTGCCAGTATGTTCTTCAAGTATAATAAAGAGCTTTGGAGATACTATCAGGAGCAATATTGGATTGTGCTTATGCCAGGGAGTGAGGCAGCCCCCATGTTGGATTCTCCTAGCACAGGGGTTCTCAAACTGGGGGTCGGGACCCCTCAGGGGGTTGCAGGGTTATTACATGGGGGGTCACGAGCTGCCAGACTCCATCCCAAACCCCGCTTCGACTCCAGCATTTATAATGGTGTTAAATATATTAAAAAATGTTTTTAATTTCTAAGGGGGGGTCACACTCAGAGGCTTGCAATGTGAAAGGGGTCTCCAGTACAAAAGTTTGAGAACCACTGCCCTAGCATATCAGATTGCAGTGAAAGAGAAGCTAAATTGCATTCTGGGGGATGGCTTGATTGAGCAATCTACACCACCTTGGACATCCAAATGATATTACAAAAAAGCCCAATGAAGACTTAAGGATATGTGTTGACTACTTAAGGAGATTTAACTCACAGACAGTTCAAGACAGCTACCCACTTCCCCACATAGCCGATACCCTACATAAAAAAATGTCAGGAGCAAAATATTTCAGTAGTTTTGATTTGGTATCTGGATACCATCAGATTAAAATGTCACTTGAGGATCAAGAGAAAAAACAGCTTTTTTGACACCCTATGGACTTTTTCAATACTGCAGAATGCTTTTCAGACTCATGAATGCCCCAGGGATGTTTCAGAGAGTAGCAAATGATGTAATCCAAGTTTTGAGAACTGAAGACATCCTCACGTACTTAGCTGACTTAATTTGTTTCCATAAAACATGGGAGGAACATTGGTAGGAGTGGAAAAGTTTCTAAAGCATTTTAGGGTTTAAACTTGGGAGAAACAAATGTCAGTATGCAAGGAGTTGCGTCACCTTCGCAGAATGTATAATCAGTGAGGATGGGTTGGAGTCCCAACCTCAGAAACTGAATGTTATAAAGGACTAGAAGGTTCCTACTAACCTAAAGGAGGTACAGACGTTTGTAGGCCCTGTGGATTATACACAGGATTTGTAAAAGAATTTGCACAGCAGGCAGTGCCAATATCCCAGTTCACTAACAGCAACAGTGTCTGGACATAGCAACACCAAAAAGGATTTGAGTTACTGAGGGAAGGACTTCTAAACCATGCTGTGCTTTTATTCCCGGATCCATCCTACCCATTTATGGTAATCTGTGATGCCTTCAGAGTTCCTTTTGGACTTGCACTTGAACAAATCCATGAGCTTAGTAGGTGTAGACCAGTGGCTTTTGAAAGCCATATATTTAAATGAGGGAAACCAAGTATTCCGGTACACAACTGTCTGGCTACTGTGGAGGTCTTCAAGGCCTATTGCCCCTGTTTACTAGGTACAGAACCAAAAGGCTTCTTGTGGAGATGGATTCACAAACTGTCTGGATATACATTCATAGTTCATTGTAAACCTGGAAAGCAAACTGAGGTGCAGATGCCCTCAGCCAGGTGAGGACCGTGAGAGTAGACTCAGCCTGGT